GGGGGGAGAGAGAGAGAGAGAGAGGCCTGAATCAAAACACGCTCCAGAGCTGGGCCCTGCACTTTCTTCCTTCCCTTTCGGGGACCTGCTTAAGAATGTGTCCTGGAAACAGGTGCCTCCGAAGTCTAAGCAGGCAAAAGTTCCCACCAAAATGCCATGCCTTATACACAGATCTGCGAAGCACCTGGGGCAGTCTGGGCAGCTACTCATTAGTTCTGGTTCTAGTTCAGCTGCTCTGGAACTTTCTGTGTGGGCCAGACTAGCCTTGAACTTCTGGTAGTCCTCCACCTTCAAGTGCTGGAGTTACAGCTACTGAGCAGCCATGTTTGGGCTTTTGTGCATGTCGGGCAAGCAACCCACCACTGAGCTACAGCCCCCCTTTTTACCATTTGAGACAAGGTTGCTCCTGTTTGTCTTGTTTTTTAAAGATAGTTTCACTATGTAGCCCTGGCTGACCTGAAGTTCACTATGTATATCAGGCTATATGTATTTACTGCTATCTGCCTGCCTGTGCCTCCTGAATGCTGGAAATAAAGGTGTGCCATCATGCCTGATCTTTTTTTCTCTTTTCTTTTTTCTGAGACAGTAGCTTTTTGAGACAGTGTCTCACTGTGTTGCTCAAGCTAGCCTCAAACTCAAGATTCTCCTGCCTTGGCCGCCTGGGGTGCTTTTCCACCCACCTCACCCCTGACCCCCAGCTTAGCCTGAAATATATATATATCCTTGGTCCAGTAATCATTCTGGTCTTTATTCAGCTATCCCACCGTTGCCCATAACCCCAGAACTGAAGCGAGTGCAGACAAGAGGCTCTCTGGGCTTGTTGGCTTCCAGCCTGGTTGAGAAAACTTGAGCCCCGTGTTCAGGAAGAGACGCCTATCTCAGAGGAAAAGGCAGGGGCTGACAGAGCAGAACACCCAGTGCTGACTTCTGGTTCCTGTACAGGCACGTGCATCTGCACGCGGATGTGTGCGTGCACTCACAGATACGTGTACACAAAGAAACCATGTTTTAAATTCTGTGCAGGGGGTATGTGTAGATGTGTGCAGATGCCTGCCAAAGTCAAAAGAGGGCAGCAGATTTCCTGGCTGGAGTTACAGGGTGGTGTGAGCTGGGGACTGAACTTAAATCCTCAGCAAGAACAGTATACACTTCTTGGGCTGGAGAGGCTCAGAGGTTAAGCCCACTGGCTGCTCTTCCAGAGGTCCTAAATTCAATACCTAGCAACCACTTGGTGGCTCACAGCCATCTATATTGAGATCTAGTGCCCTCTTCTGGCATGCAGGCAGAACACTGTATACATGGTAAATAAATAATTTTTTTTTTTTATTTTTCGAGACAGGGTTTCCTTGTAGCTTTGGAGCCTGTCCTGGAACTAGCTCTTGTAGACCAGGCTAGCCTCGAACTCACAGAGATCCACCTGCCTCTGCTTCCTCTGCTGAGATTAAAAAAAAAAAAAAAGAATAGTAGTACACATTCTTAACCACTGAGCCACCCCTTTAGTCTCCACAAATTAGTAAATTAAGGTTTTTTTTTTTTTATCTAAAGACAGGGTTTCTCTTTGTAACAGCCTGGGCTGTCCTGTAACTTGCCCTGTAGACCAGGCTGGCCCCGAACTCACAGAGATCTGCCTGCCTCCTGAATGCTGGGATTAAAGGCCTGCACCGCTATTAGGAAGTATTTTTAAGAAACAAAAGACGCACACCTTTAATCCCAGGATAGGCTCCAAAGCTACAGAGAAACCCTGTCTCAAAAAACAAAAACAAACAAACAAAAAAATAAAGACTCGAGCTTCTACACCTGTCAAGGATTTAATAATACCCAACATGCAGCTGTTCACTCCACGCCAGTGGTGTGTCCAAAGGCTGCACACTCCACAGAAGCCAGCCCCAGCTGCTGCCTCTGGTGAGCCAGACCTCAAAGAGCAGCCAGTGGGCTTAACCTCTGAGCCTCTCCAGCCCAAGAGTGTATACTGTTCTTGCTGAGGATTTAAGTTCAGTCCCCAGCTCACACCACCCTGTAACTCCAGCCAGGAAATCTGCTGCCCTCTTTTGACTTTGGCAGGCATCTGCACACATCTACACATACCCCCTCCATATGCACATCATTTAAAACATGATTTCTTTGTGTACACGTATCCGTGAGTGTCCAAATGTGACTTGGGAGGAAAGGCTTTATTCCGGTGCTGGTTGTTGCTCAGCATGAAGGGAAGTTGGGGCAGGGACCTGGAGGCAGAAACTGAAGCAGAAGCTAAGGAGGGATGCTGCCTACTGACTTGCTCCTCACGGCTTGCTCAGCCTGCTTGCTTCTTCTCCTTCTTCCTCTCCCCTCCCCCTCCTTCTCCTCCTTCTTTGAAGCAAGGTTTCTTTGTGTAACCCTGACTATCCTGGAACTCGCTCCATAGACCAGGCTGGCCTCAAACTCAGAGACCCACCTGCTTCTGCCTCACAAGTGCTTGATTTAAATGCATGCACTTCAATGCGTGGCTTTTTAAAATATGTCTTTACTTTTTATTTTATGTGTGTGTATTTTGCTTGCAGCTAGAGTCAGAGTCACTGGAACTGGAGTCACAGATGGTCTGGGCCACCCTGTGGGTACTAGAATTGAACCTGGGTCCTCTGTAAGAACATCCAGTGTTCTTAGCTACTGAGTTATCTCTCCAGCCCCTGCTCTGCTTTCTTATACTACCCAGGACAACCTGCCCAGGGATGGCCTGGCCCTGGTGAGGTGAGCCCCTTAGTGAGTGAGGTGAGCCTGACTGATTCAATCATTCATCAAGAAAATGCAATACAGACTCTGCCCACACCTTGATCTGATGCAAGCATTTCCTCAGCTGGCAGCCACTCTGCCCAAGTGAGGTCTCGTTCATGTCAATGTAACAAAACTAACCAACATGCCAGGAGCCAGGAAGCCAAGGGCAGGGCACAAACAGCTGAGAATGTCTGGGGACCCGGAAGGTTCTACAGAATTGCTATGTACACTATAGTCCAGAAAGAAAGGTAGAAATATGGCCTAGGACAACTGGGAGGGGAAAAAGCTGGATGGGTTGGGGCAGGCTTAGGATCAGTTCTCAAAAGACAAGGGCAGGAGGACTGATTGCCACTAAGTTTGAGAAGAGCTTGATCTGCTATAGTTCCAGGTTAGCCAATGCCACATAGTAAAACTCTGGTGGGAGGGGGAGAGAGGGAGGAAGGGAGAACCTGTTCAAGAGAGGAGGGCAGGGAGTGGAGAGGCTTCCATTTGGAAAGTCGTTTATGACACACAGAGACAGTGAGTGCAAGAGGATGGAAAAGACAGAACCTGAGAGCTGAGGACAGTACTGAGGCCAGCAGGAGCTGAACCCAGGTGGCTTTGTGGGATAGCTCCTTGGACTTGGCCTGGGGAGCAGCGGGGCGGAATCCATGGAAGGTAGGGTTTGATGGGAACTCTTTCAAAGTCACAGCACTGGTGGAAAATCAGAGCTGGGGCAAGGAAGGATTCTATCTATAAACATATACACAGATCACATCTCTAAGATGCATGCGTGGGTTGAACAAATAGTTCAGTGGTAAAGGACTTGCTCAGCAATCCCCAGCACAAAAGAAAGAAAGGAAGAAAACAAGTGAGTGATCGAGCAAGCAAGCTAGGGAGCGACGGGAAAAGTGGAGGCCTGGAGGAAGAGCCTAGAGTACTGAGTCCCAAAAATAATCATCCTGCCTAACCTAGAAAGTGGGTGGTAGAGAGGTCAAGCAGTACTGGTTTAAAAAGCTGATTACATGGGAACGCCTTCGCAACTCGCCACTGGGGAGAGAGAACGAACTCACACATAGCAGAACGGCTACAAAACTACTTTCCTAAGGTGCTGACAGGTGAGCACCGAGACCCCAGGTGGCTTCCCTTCACTATGCTTTTCCGTTTTCTGCAATGAGCACTGTAATCCTGGTGGTCAGCTGGGTGGGACTTAGAATCTCCTAGGAGGTGTGAGGGCATTTCTAGAGACCTTTAAGCTCATGAGCGTGAGTTCCATGCAGCTCATGGTTGGAGCGCCTGCATTCATTTCAGGACCTGCTGTAATCCCAGCAGGAAGAGGCGGGAGGATCAGGGTCATCCCACTCACACAGCAAGTTTGAGGCTAATCTGGGTTCTGGGAGCCTATTTCAAAAGACAAAACAACAACTTTAAAGTGAGGTGAGGTAGCACGCCTCAGGTCTCGTGGGTAGAGACAGGAATGACTTCAAGGACTGCCAGGGCCAGAGTGAGCCCTTGTTCTCTGTTTCCTGACTGTAGATGCAGTGTGGGTGCAAGATGGCTCAGAAGGTAAAGGAGGTCACTTGCCACCAACCTGTCGGTATCAGTTTGATCCCTTGTTCCCCTGTGTGGAAGGAGAGAACTGACTTCTGAAAGTTGTCCTCTGATTGCGTCATGCCCACCCTGTCATGCTCCCCCACGCAAATATAGACATCACGTGGCCAGCTGCCTCGCGCTCCTAGCCTCCTACTGCTGTTGTATGGTTGCCAGGATGGACTGTATCCCCCTACCTTGACATGGGTGTGGTGGCGCACTGCCTTTAATCCCAACAGCTGGAAGGCAGAGGCCTGTGGATGTCTGTCTGTTCAAGGCCAGCATGGTCTACATAGTAAGTTCTAGGACAGTCAGGACTACATAGAGAGGCCCTGTCTGGAAAGAAAGAAAGAAAGAAAGAAAGAAAGAAAGAAAGAAAGAAAGAAAGAAAGAAAGAAAGGAAGGAAGGAAGGAAGGAAGGAAGGAAGGAAGGAAGGAAGGAAGGAAGGAAGGAAGGAAGAAAGAAAGAATTTTGTCACAAGAAAGCAATGAGAAAAGTAACTAATACATGAATAAGGCTAGGGAAAAGAAGGTACGACAGAGACAGGGACGTACCTTATGTAGGCTGGTCATGCCGTCATCATCAACCAGCCGAGGGTTGGACCCATGGGAAAGCAGCAGTCGTGCAATTTCCGTGTGCCCACAGTAGCTGGCCCGGTGCAAGGCTGTGGCACCCCCGTGGGTCTGGGCGTCACACTTTGCTCCACTTTCCAGCAGAAATTGGCAAACAGCATAGTGCCCATTGCGACTAGCATAGTGCTGCAGGGGGCAGAAACTGAAGTCAGACAGCAAAGTCCTGGCGGGTGACAGGGGCACTGGGATGGTAAAGGCCCTGGCTGTCCAGCAAGGGGCAGACCTGGAACCAGCTCAGAGACACTGTGCTCTTCCACTAATTAAAATACCCAGCTGCTCATGATGCTGCCAAAATAAAAAGGGGAGGGTGGCTAAGGATACAGCGTAGGAGGGAGAGTGCTTAGCATCATGGCGGCACAAGCCAGGGTCTGTAATCCCAGCTGGAAGAAGCAGGAGGATCAGGGTCATCCCACACACAGCAAGTCTGAGGCTAATCTGGGTTATGTGAGCCTACTTCAAAAGACAAAACAACAAACTTTAAAGCAAGATGAGCTAGCATGCCTGTAACCTCAGTACTGGGGGGGGGGGGGCAGGAATGACTTCAAGGACAGCCTGGGCCAGAGTGAACCCTTACAAAAGCTAAAAACCTAAGAGCCAGTGAGATGACTCATTGGCTAAAAGTACTTACTACCGAGTCTGGTGACCTAAGTTCTATCCCCAGAACTCGTGCAAGGAATGGAACAACTCTCCAAAGTTGTCCTCTGACCTCCACACATGCCCTGTGACAAGCTCGTGCCCGCTCGCAGGCTTGCACATGCGCGCACACACACCACACACACACACACACACTGCAGGCTCACACATTCACACGCAGTGCAGGCTTGCACACACACATACCACACACATACCACACACATACCCACACACTGCGGGCTTACACATTCACACGCAGTGCAAGCTGGCACACACACACCACACACACACACTGTGGGCGTGCACATTCACACGTACGCACACCAGTAACAAGAACCAACAGAACAAACACTGCAGGGCTTTGCTGGGAGTAAAGGGGAAGAGAAGAGGCAGCCTAGAGTCAGAGCCTGTCCCATAGCTCACCAGCGCGGTGTAGCCGGCAGAGTCAGGCTGGCTGGGGTCTGTGGCCTTCTGGATGAAATATTTTACTCGGCCCAGGTCTCCATTCAGGGCTGCTGACCAGATTCCTGCAGAAAGCCAATCAAAGCACTCAGCAGGGTCGCAGGATGGCATTTTTCTTTGTTTAAGTACTAGGGGAGGCAGAGGCAGTGGGTCTCTGTGAGTTCAAGGCCAGCCTGGTCTACAGAGCTGGTTCCAGGACAGCTAGGACTACACAGAGAAATCCTGTGTTAAACAAACAAACAAACAGAAGCTGATCAGGGAACTGTGAGAGCTTAGCAGGTCAAGTACCTGTCTTCAAGCCTGACTACGCCTACGTGGTGGAAAGAGAGAACTGACTCGCGCCAGTGTCCTCTGACCTCCGAACTCATACCCACATGCCCCACACACCCTAAATTTAAAAATAAGTAAAATTATTGAAATAAGATAACCACGAATAGGTTGACCAATACTACACACCCAGGCGATGAGAGAATTCATCAGTGGCTTGGAATTCAGTCACAATGCAGTATAAAACGATGGGGGAAAGAAGAGGTAAAGGAACTTGGAAAAGACCGTGTACCAGCACACTCCTAAAGCAATCACGGACAGATATGCTGGATGTCACCGGCGTCATGTCCTTGCAGGGTTCCGGGAATTTGACCTTACTGGCAAAGGAGCCCAGACACTGCGTACACAGAAGCTAGGACGGGGGCTGGTGGAGAATTGCAACAACCCAGAAGCTCATCGTGTTTATTATATACAGTTGAACAGTTAACCGGGCTCCTGTGCTCAACAAGGAGGCGGGGTTATTCTACACAGCTGAACAAGGAGGCAGGTTTAGCTAACATTAGTAGAGCAATCAATCTCTGCAGAGGAACAGACTTCAGGCCATGAATATCCAGAGAGAGAAATGGTGGACATTTTCTGCCTCACCCTTATGTGTGTGTGTGTGTGCTCAGCACTTGTTGCTCTTCTAGAGGTCTGGGTTTGATTCCTAGCACCCATAAGATTAGCTCACAACCATCTGTAACTCCCATTTCAGGGGATCCAATCCCCTCTTCTGATGAGGCCCATACATGATGCACACATACACATGGGCAAAACATTCACACACATTAAATAAATATATATACTAAAACCAGTGATCAGAGAGATGGCTTGGCAGTTAAGAGTAGTTGCTAGGGCTGGATAGTGGTGGCACACACCTTTAATCCCAACACTAAGGAAGCAGAGGCAGGTGAATCTCTGAGTTCAAGCCAAGCCTGGTCTACATAATGAGTTTCAGGCCAGTCAGCCAGTCAGCGCTACATAGTGAGACCCTGTCTGGGGGGTAGGGGTGAGAGAGGTGGGAATGGGGAGATGGACAGACCAACAAAACAGAACACACACACACACACACACACACAATAACTGAACTAAAAACTAAAAAAACAAATGAATTAAAAACTAAAATAAGATAATTTACAGAAAACATTCACACAATAGGTGAGCACCTGCATCACATGTGGGAAATTAAGGCAAGAATAAGCAAACAAAGTAACAGCAGGTGATACACAAACTTTCTTTTTTCACTTTTAGTTTTTGGAATCAAGTGTCTCACTATGTATCCCTGCTCTGTCTGGCTTTGAACTTGTAGCCCTCCTGCCTCAGCCTCTGAATCAGTCCAAACTGCTATAAGAAGAGCAAAGTGCTACTGTAACAGAATAGCCTGGAAGGGAAGGGCCCGGCTTTGAACAGGACAAGGTTTCTTTCTCAACAGAGACACGTCGGTCGTGTTGAGCCAGGTCACTGTCTCTTGTGGGGAGCTGGCCTGTGCACGTCAGAATAGCTGTGGCTCACAAAAATGTCTCTAGATCTTTACGGGGCATAACTATCCCTAGGTAAGGACTTGATAAGGCATAAGGAAGGTTTCTCTGAAGAGGTGTCATAGAACTGAGAGTTCTCTGTCTGAAATTTTCAGGAAGGCTGGACAGAAGGCAAAATGATTGATGTTAATCAGTCAAAGGTTAAACACCCAAAGGGCACCACTGCAAAGGGTACAGAAACAGCTTTATAGGTCACAAGAGAGAACTCGGTTTGAGGAACTAAAAGCAGTGGGGGTGGGGCTGGAGAGAGAGCAGCAGGCAGCTCTGCCGAGCACCTGGGGCAGTTCCCAGCACCCAGCTCACAACCATCTCTAAGTGCATCTCCAGGGAATCTGATGCCCTCTTCTGGCCTCCATGGGCACCAGGCACACGTTGTACACAGACATAATTCCGACAAACGCACATAAATGATCTTTAAATTAAAAAAAAGTAAATGGGGGGCTGGAGAGATGGCTCAGTGGTTAAGAGCACCGGCTGCTCTTCAAGAGGTCCTGAGTTCAATTCCCAGCAACCACATGGTGGCTCACAACCATCTGCAATGAGATCTGGCACCCTCCTCTGGCATGTGGGCAAACATGGAGGTAGAATGTTGTATACATAATAAATAAATAAATAAATCTTTAAAAAAAAGTAAATGTAATAATCTCATTTGCTATTTTTCCAATGAGGAGGAGAACACACTGGACGAGGGCAAGAGGGAAAGCCCTATTATATATATCCCCAGCCCAAAGATGGCAGTAGCTGAGATAAAAGGTGCAGGTTAAGAAGTACGGCAACTGTCGGGTGTGACTGCACATGGGTCAATAGCATCTACCCTACCTTGCTATAGCTGCACAAGCTACCTGTGCCCTGGGATAACAGTTCATAACACAGTCGTGGCTGGCACGGAGAACAGGTACCATTGCTGCCAGCAAAATCTCTATAATCTGGGACAAAACAGTTACACCCTTGCGCTTCTCACGTAAAAATGCAGTCACCTGTTTTGAAATCACTGTAATAGCTACAACATGGAGAGCAACCCCCCTGACCTCCCAGGCGGACACAACCAGCTGCAGATTCTGTCCCTGGCTCTTCTGTCCCCTGAGCAGACTGTCTCCTAGCTAGGTTGGTCTCCAGACCCAGTTCGGAAACCAGTGCCTCAGTTTACCCGTCCGCACTCGAATCGATGCGACCGAAGGGCTTCCTGCCAAGCTCTGCGGCCAGCCTTCCTGCACCAGGCCCGGAAGCTCCAAACTCGGTTCGCGGCCTCCTTTGGTTCACGTTCCGGGGGCTGGGACTGGGAACTGCCTGCCTCCAGCCACACGGCCGCCTCACCCTTCTCACCCCTCTCAAAGTCCATCTCCTCCAGCGTCTGCTGTACCCCGGGCACCGCACCAGGGTGCGAACAACAGGAGCCGTCCGCGCACGGTTGCGGCGCCGCCATCTCGGCTGCCCAGTTTGCAGCCGGGCTCCACGAAGTGCCCACCTCTCCGTCCCAAAATGACCACTTGGAGTCCGTAGTTGACCTCCGAGTCCCGCCCTCTCACCCGGACCGACCAATCCGACGCTTAGATCTTAGCTTAGCAACCAATGACAGTAGCGAGGCGGGCTGGATGGCTTGGGTCTTGCTGCTCTGCCACCACGGGAGGGCGCCCGAGACTAATTAAGCACAAGGAGACTCAGCGGTGTAGGGTTCTGCTGCTGCGTGCCCCGGAGGAGGCGGGACGGTTTTTGCAACCGCGCCTTGTAGGGTGTGGGGACCAAGCAGCTTAGCCCGCCAGGCAGTGTTTACGTTGCATTCGCCAGAACCGAGGCCTCGCGGGCTCCCCAGGGCACAAGGACTCTGGACGCCGCCCACAGTCCTCATCCCATCTTCCCGGCACCAACCGACCAACGGGCTGTCCAAGGGCAATGCAGCGACTGCCAGAAAGTCACTAACACCCTGACCTCGTTCCTTAACATTCCAGTGGGAAGCAGGTGGTCTAAGGGCAAAGGACCTTTGAGCTTAACCCTCCGCCCCCTCCATGGTCACTGACTGCCAACATTCGCTGGGCTAACGTCTGAGCTAAGGGAGACACACTCAAGTATGATCCAGCTTTCTGACCCACACTCAAGCTGCAGTCAAGTGTAAAGAGGGTGGGGGACACTGGAGGGGGTGGTGCTCACTATTGTGGTCTCTGTCCCTATGCACGGGTTAGATTTATCTAAACCAGTCGTGTCCAAATTGCAGTTAACAATAGCATCGAATTCTGCACAAAAGATCTTAAGACATCATTTCTTTTCTTCTTTTCTTTTCTTTTTTTTTTTTTTTTTTTCTATTTTCCTTTTTTAAACTCGATTGCCGGGCAACTCCCATCAAGGGCACTCAAAAATGAATCCAGGCTGGGCCTGTTGTTTTTCCCAGTAACATCTGGGCCTATACTACCTCATTAGAATCAGGGCTTGGAACTTTCTGGGTGGCAGTAGACTATCTTAGATGGGACAACAGAAAGCTACAAGTAGTTCCTCCTTCCACTGAGCTTGTCCTGGGCTCCATCTTCATAAAAAAACGCTGCCTCCACAACCTTGAGACGTTTTTTTAGGAGGTCCCCTCCCTCAGACCCCTCACCCCTGCTCACCCTCCCTGGAGTTCTGGGAAGACAAACCCCTTCTCCTACTCTTCCTCCAGTGCTGACTTTTCCCTGTGGCACCAGGCCAAGTCTGGCTCCCAAGAGGATGTAGCCCTGGTCTGGTTCCCAGTCCCATAGGCACCAGTGTGGGAAAACACTTGAGTCTCAGCTGGCCCCTCCAGAGAGGGGGCACAGACAGACTATGATGGGCCCAGCCCAAAGGATGGTTCCCTTTTGGCTCAATAGATAGGTTTTAGTCAAAATATCTGAGCACCAGAGTTAAGTTTCATTTTCTCCATTTTATTTGTCAATATAAAAATACTCAAATATTTACAACAAATAAATATGTGGGGACACAATAAGTTACACTGTTAGGAGCCCTTTTCCTGGAGCTGGGAGAGGATACGCCAGTATCCACAGCATGCCCACTCTCCCTTCCCTCCCCCCAACCTTTCCCAGCCCTGTAGGAAGAGCGCAAGTATAAAATACCACTGAACCCAGAGGCCAAGTGGGAGGCCCTGCCCACCCTTCCCCCTGAAACAGGAGGCTCCATCTCCCTCCCCCACCCGCCCTGAAAACATTCACAGCCCTAGGAGCAGGACTAGGCCCACCCCTGAGTCCTGCACTCCCCCCAGAGGGGTACAGCACCCTGTCCACCCATCCCCATCTGTACATCACTGTCCCAAGCTTGGGACAGGTGGGGGTAGGAGAGGCAAAGTGGTATGACCCCCTTCCCCTTCATAGCTCCAAAGACTCACCAGGAGGACCCCAGGCCAAGGGAAGACTTAACAGAGACACACCTAGACACACACACATACACACACGCGCGCGCACACACACACACCCCTCCATACATACACGCACCAACACATATATGCACAAACACCCATATCTTGAAACTTCTGCCTTGCAAAGTTTTGGCTGCTGGGGTCCCACAATGTCTGAAATTCACAGAGGAGGGCGTGGCCTCCTGTGAGGCTGATGCCCTGGTGAGCCACACCAAGTGGCAGTGCCCACGCTGAGCAGGTCCTCATGGCTGGGCAAATGCTGGGCAGTGTCTGTCCCAGGCAGAGCAAGTGCCCCTGCCATGTCCCTGAGGTAGCTGGTGCCTGTGCAAAAGTAAGGGTGCACCTCCCACGAGACCCCCGCCTATGAGGTGGGTGGGGGGGCTCCCCTCATACTGAGGACTCCTCTGGGTTGGAGTCAGGCAGTGGCTGGCGCTGCTGGAGTTTCCGCCGCAGCTCATCCGCGAGCTCAGGCAGTGGATGCCCAAGTCCTCCTCGGTCCTCCCCTCCCAGTTGTAAGCGCACATAGCCATTGGCGTTTGAGTTCCGACCTCCCCCTAGGTGAAGCCGAGTCGGAGAAGGCAGGGGCTGGCCAGGTATGCCAGGAGGTGGCGAAGGGGGCCCACCCCCGGGCTGGCACCGGGCGTGACCAGGTACAATCTTGAGAGAGCCGTCTGAATAGTAGTAGCCAACGGGATCCCAAAGTTTCTCATCTGTTTCAGGACCAGGGCGGAAGGGGGGACTGGTTGGTTCCTTGGGCAGTTCTAGCGGGTACACCAATGTCCTCTCAGCTGCCTTGGCACCTTTTTCTAGCTCTTCTCGAAGTCGCCGACGAAGTGATAAAACCAACAGCAGCAACACCAGGCACACAGCCCCCAGAGCCACCACAGCTAGCCATACAAGCCCCAGGTTTTCCAGGGGAGCCCGGGCCTCCAGAGTCACTGATGGGCCAGCCACGACAGCAACAAGGTAGTTTTCTGCAGGCAGTCTTGTCCCCTGCTCCTCTGAATAGCAGTGATAAGGCCCAGCATGGCGGGGCTGGGCAGCCATCACTACCAGCGCCTGGAGTCCTGTGTCATAAAGGAAGGAGCCAGGTTGTTCGGCAGGCAGGTCCCGGCCTCTGAAGGTCCAGCGGGCATGGGCCAAATTTGACGAGAGGTGGCAGGGCAGAACCAGGTCTGTGCCTGCCACTACAGTGATGTTCTTGGACGCAGGTCGGACTGCAGAGGCAAAAATGAGAAAGAACTGGGTGTTAACACAGGAAACCCAGAGCCAACAGCAGGAGGAGATACGCCAACTCTGGCTGCGGTTGGGGGGGGGATCCCCAAAATGAAGGAACAGAGAAAAACGGCTCACCTTTCTTAATGCCATACTGGTTACACATCTTTGAGGTGTCCAAGTTTGTCACGTGTTGGACCAGAAGGGACCTGGTAGGGAAGGGCGAGAACATTGGCAGTCCTGCTCCAACCACCTTGGCCTCCCCTCCTGGCCCTGGCACTCCTCACGGATTGCCCGACTCACCCTGGGTGACCAACGGTGGTGGCCACGCAGCGGCTGGTGTTGACATTCCAGGCACAGTAGGGATCCCGGGCAAGGACACAGTCTGCACAGAAGCGGTACTTTGTGCAGTCATTCAGGGGCAACTGGACCAGCTGAGAGCGGGAGCCAGCGAAAAGCACCCTCTGCAAAAAAATCAACAAAGGGTGAGGCTTTGAGAGGCACAGGCAGAGAGAGAGCTTGGATCTGTGCAGGGAGCAGGAACGCGCTAGGGACCAAAGGAAGAAGGCAGAAGAAAAATCCAGGCCTGAGGAACAAGCTTGATGAGAGCCGAGCCAGAACAATCCTAATCACGGAATAGACATGACTTTATTAGACAAGAACAGCAGACCGGGAGGCCAAGGTATACGCACCCGCTCACGTGCACGCACACTTGCTCAGACACACACGCTTGCTCACACACACACCTGCACACACACAGCTCAGGAAACGCTCTCTTCCAGCCCTAGGAACCGGCACAATAATGGGCCCATCTAAGGCGTTTCCCTCTGCCCAAATGGTGACTGCCAATCTGTATATTTATTCAGCCCCACACTTTCCTCGCTGCCATTTCATTATTCAGTGATCAGGGGAGCAACTTTGAGTCACAATAGCTGGTAAAAGGCAAACAAATCAAAGTCCAGAGGGTGCTGGGAATATGCCAGTTTTGCATAAAGGTTTGGAAAAAAAAAAAAAGCAAATGCTTCAAGAAAATGATCCAGAAGATTGAGGACCTGGCTCAGAGACCCACCGGGGACTGGAAGAAAACTGATGTCCCTGTTACATGGGTACCAAACACACTTTAGAGCCTGGGAGGTCTGGTCAACCACACGGAAGGGCCTGAAGAACACATGAGAATATGAGGGCACTAGCCAAGGCCAGATTCTGGGAATGGGGGTCCCATGGGAACTGGCTCTATGTAAGAACCCTTGGAGGGTAGGTTCCAGTACAGTCCGTTAATGCTCTTACATCCTGAAACTTGCAAAAGATAAGTGAGGGGCTCTGAGCTGGCCAATCACATGCGCCCAACTAGGGAAGGCCAAAAGCCTGGGTGTGGGCTAGATGGTGCAGCACTGAGCCGTGCAGCCTGTGTGGCCCATCCTACCTTGCTCCGGGACAGTGCCAGACTCTCCACCGGCTCCTGGTCAAACACCTGCAGCTCCTCTATCATGTGGACCCAGGACCCCAGGCTCACAGCCTTCAGCAGCCAGCCGTCTCCTGGAGAGGGGATGAGGAGGGTGTGGAAATGATGAGGCCCTCGGGGCATCCCCAGGCTCCCAGGCTTGAGTACACCTGGAAAAGTGCCTACCTGTACCAATGAACAGCACCGTATAGGTGGCGCCATCGAGTCCTGTGACCCTGTCGGCCACCACGTGTGTGAAGTTCGTGTTCTTCTTCACAAGCAGGGGGCGGCCCAACCGAGGCCTCACCTGCTCCTCCATCAGCGGGTGCTTCTTGATGAAGTTGAGGATGTTGTCTGGCAGCTCCAGAGAACTGGTGTAGCCATTGTGGCGGTGCCAATTGTTGATGCACTGTGGGGGGGGGGGGGGGGG